GGCATAACCTCCATCCCTGGCTCTCCAGAGATCATCGGTCAATGCGACCAAAGCGGTTTCCGTGCTGTAACCAGGCCTAAATCCCGACTGGAAGTGATCTAGATAATCGGTTTCCTCCAAGGACCGCCGGAGCTGAAAGAGAGATACAGAGAGAGTGGGAGAGAAAGGGGAAGATAGAGGGAGAGATTCAGAGAGGGGGAGAGGGGAGAGAAACATAGATACAGAAAGCGGAGGGAGGGGAAGATAGAGAGGGAAGGGGAGAGAGATACAAAGAGAGGGGAGAGGGGGGAAAGAGACATAGAGAAATACAGAGAGATGTCAAAAGGGTTTTGTGGTTCCCGGTGTTTTTTAATAACTGGTTCTCTGGCCTAATGACTGGCTGGGTAGATGTGGCTAAAGGATCATGTGACTGAGTGGGAGTGAGTGATGTTGAGTTGGCCATACCCACACAGGTTTTGTGGCTCCCAGTGTTTTCTTTTCTGTGGAAAATGGGTCCAAATGGCTCTAAGTTTTTAAGATTGCAGACCCCCTTCTTTATGCCAATTGGGGTGTTTTATCTAAGCATGTAATTTTGATATACTATATGAGGATAAATTTCTATTATTTTTGACTTTTGAAGCAAGTCGCAATAGCAGAAACTACAACAACTACAAAAGAATGAAAAGGCAGAAAGTGGATGAGCTCTTTGAAACTTCTATGGGAAAAGAGAGAACTTGAGATTGCCCACAAGTGCTCCAGACAGTTGCTCCTAACAAAAAGACCAGCTTCTGGTTTAGAACTCTGGGAGACAAGAGAATATCTATCTTGCTCAAATCGCGGTCAGCATTTTAAAAGGACATTCAGTTTGCATACTTCCAGTGGTGAGATTCAGCCAGTTCGCACCACTACGGGAGAACTAGTTGTTACGTTTCTGAGCAGTTTGATGACCTGGTTATTGAAAGAAATCATTAGGGTAGAGAACTGTTATATTATTTGAATCCCACCACTGCATACTTCCCTTTCTAATCACTTTCAGAAGTTGCTTGTTAATTGCTTTTCAGTTGTTAGATCCCTTGGATCAATATATTTGACAGCATTGAGTGCATTTCCCTCAATCCTTAGCAAAAGAAAGTTTAAACTAATAGTTTAAGAACATAAATACATACACACACACACACGCAAGTAGCAAAAAGATGATTAAAACTTTCGACTGTGGAAAGTTACAATTTGATTAAGGGCCCAGATAAATTTGAAATGAGATTTTGGAATTAATTATAAAGGAAGAACTCATAAATTCAAATTACAGTTATATAATGAAGCAAACAATTCTAATATTGGACATATTGAAGAATATTTTTTAAATGAGCTTAGAAATTAATAGTATCAACAGAGATATCTGTGAAACTGTACCGAAAAGAAGTTATAAAAGAGGAACAGGTTTTACCTGACAAGATCAAATCTGAGTTGAAGTGTATTTACAAATGACTGACTCCAGAAGGACATAGAAAAACATCTTACACTAGACATAAAAAGAAACCAGGTAGTGTTTTAATAATTAAAGGATATACAAATAAAAAACCAGAAGAGTATCCTGGGTAGTTTTTTCTTATATTAGAGTTACAAAAGAGACATATTAAAATTTTGAAAAATCTTGTGAGAAGAGGCAAAGAAAAATAAATGGAAAAACTAAGTCTTATTAAATTATTTGAATGGACTAAAGATTAAAATTATATATAAAATGGAAGAATATAAAGTTGGTTATTTGATCAATATTGAAATAGTTAAGTTGTTATTTCTGATAACTCGAATGGTCTTTTCTTGACATCAGGATTGAAGTGGAAATTTCATGTTTTTGTCTATAGATAAGAAATGGTCTATGTGGAAAAATTGTTGTATTTTAAGAGGAAGTGATAATTTACTAAAATTGTTTATACTTGTAATTAAATTGGGAGATCATTTATTTTTTTCTTTATTATATTATTTTCCTTATTTTGTATTTCTCTATTTTTTTCATTTTTTTCTTTCCTTGTTGCATCTTTTCTTTTTATTTTTTTTACTTTGTATTAGATTTGACTGTTAAAATTATAATCTTTAATAAAATTATTATATAAAAAAAGAATAAGTATATTTGAATATCATTTTGTTGGAACCTTTTTCTAGATTATGTTAGGTTCTTCTGATATCAAACTATATTATTTAATGTTTTTGTTCAATCATTATTTGTATCATAGAATGTCATAGGACTGAGCAGGTTTAGATAAAGACACAACTTTGCATAAGGGACATTTTTTTATAAATTGAAGATGCTGAAGCTTGAAATAGATTTTCTGCAAAAATCCTGAAGAAAATATTTACTTACAGGGAATTGGATTGATCATATTCATATTTATCAAAATTTGAAAATAGCCAAAGGATTGGGTACATTTAGGAATTTCATACTTTATATTTGAGCAATTAAAAAAAAATGATAGTTACCGTATCATTTGGGGTATCTGAGGAACCATCTCTTCCCAATGGGGACTAGCCCATCTCATTCATTCCACTGGAAAGGGCCTACTGCAGATCCTGTTGGCCAAACAATTTCAGCAGAAGAGCACTTTCTGCTCTGATCCCCGCCCTCTGGAATATTCAGATGTGAGGCCCGACCCCACTTGGCTCTGTTCTCAACAGAGGTCTGCTACATTGGGGATGGCTGACCAGGAAGATAAAGATTCCCACCCCCAGCTTGTTGTCAGCTTTTCTAGTCGATTTTTATAATTGTTATTGTTTTTTGGTCCTTTTTTAACTTTTTATTATATTGTAAGCCACATGAGCCACTGTATCATTGGTATGTGCAGCATAGAAATTAATAAATAAAAATAAATAAATAAATAAAACATTGGATATTATAAATGGTAATATTTGGATAACTGAACCAAAGATAAACTATACATTTTGTTTGTTTGTTTATTGCTAATTTTTTTAGACAGACCTTACAGTTTAGAGATTTTAGTTAAAAAATAAATTTGCCAACCAACTGAAATTAAGTTTCAAAGGAAAATTGTTTACAGAGATGGAAAAATCATCCATGCTTATCGCAGATTTAATTTACACTTGATTAAACAAAAAGCCATTGATGTAAAACAAATGAATAAAAAATATTTTAATCAAATTGATCAGTAATATATTAAGTTTTAATTGAATGGTCAAACTCCAAGGTTCTCTCTTTCAGAATGTGGGCGTTTACTTTTGCTGATTTTCAGGCACATTTATGACCCTCTTGGTTTTTTTCAAATGTAAATTATGTTGAGCATGTACCACTACAAGCCCATCTGGAGAGCTGTAATTTGGCATCTTAAAATCTTGGCCAGTTCTTACTTTGAGTATAGTCAAAACACTGTTGTATTTCCAGCCCTGAAAGCAGTCAGATATGTTTAGACAATATTGAAGAAATTAAAATTTGATCCCTGTTCTCAGAAAAACTGTTCCTTTGGAATCTGTATTTTAAATGGCAATCTTCCCCCACCCCTCCCTTCCCCAAGCTTGGCCTGAAAATTAGATAGTAAACTTTAATA